TGGCCATCTTCGACAACCGCCTGCTTTATAATCAATATACGATAGTTTTGACCTCATCTCATATCCTCTATAATATACTGAGAAAGTGGTTCCAAATCAGAAACCCTACAGAACCCTTGTAAGACCCGCACTAGACACCTATGTGGGTAGTTCTCTAAAGTAGGGTCCCTCTCAAGGTCCTTGTTGTCTTATAGGGGTGCAACACTATGTTAGGGACCCAAACGGGACCCTAATTCAGGGAACTACCCATATAAACCCTAAGCCCTCAACCCCTAAACCCTAAACCATAAACCCTAAACCCCTAAACCCTAAACCCTGAAACCCTAAACCCCCCCATATAGCCCCGAAGCCACATTTCAGACCAAGGGCCATCTTCAGGCCGAAGCTTTCGCAGCGCGTTTTGTGCATCACATCCCGGTCCTGCATAGAGTCGGCCTACAATTGAAGGGATCTACTCCCAAAGCCCTATAATCCGCTACACATCCCAATACTCCCTGAAAGATGTCTTTCAGGAACCCTTATAGTAGGAATCCCCCATATGGGGGCGCTTAGGGTTGTGGGGCTTCTGCAAAGTATCCGTAGAGAAGGGTTTAGGGCTTCCTGTATGTGGCTCTCGGGGGGCTCTTCGCTTCACGTCAGCTCAGGTTTGGTGGTCTTTGGTCTTAAGACTTCGGGCTTACGCCTCTAGATCACTTTGAGGTACGGCGACTGCAAGAGACCGGTGTGTGCGTGTGTATCAGGGGCCTCCTATTTCCTCAAGGCACTCGTCCCATGTAAGGATGGGGCCCCAAGCCCCAAAGTGAAAACAAAAAAAAAACACTCAACAATAAAACTCTACAGCCCTAAACCCCGTCGTCTTCAAGGCCTTGGCATCGACGTAGAGGCTCTTCATCCCGGGCGATACCCAGGTCCTGGGAGAAGATTGGGATGCGAACTGATTGTTGAGGTTTGGGTGTAGTATAGGGGCCTGAATGCTTACAAGAGGCTATAAACATATAGTAGGGGCTATAAGGGGATTCGGGGTTTCAGAAACTCCGGGGGCCCCTCTAAGGATCCTATACGCAAGGAACCTGCCATTTAGGGCTCACTATTGTGCTCAAGCATTTAGGGTATTCTGCTAAGGATGGCTCTCCACATCGTCGTGGAAAAGAACTTAAGCAATAGCACGGGTCCGTTGACAGGAACCCTTTAAACTGCACACTGGAGCTCTCCCTGCGAACCAGTAGACGGACGGGTAGTTCACAGACCGACAACAGCAAGCGACTCCAGCCTCTGCGCCCTGCATTTGAGACCTTGGTGAACGCAAAAACCTCTTTTGCCAAATAAACAAAGCCTCAAAAGCAAGGCTCCAGAGAAGCCAAGCATGTCTCTTGAATCGAAGCCCTCAAAACAGAAACCAACCCCAACTAATCCCACATATTCGCCTCTCCAACACCTACACCGCAAACTGAGAAACCCGAAAAGGCTCAAACCTGATAGAAACCCTTAGAGACAACATCCCTGAGCCCTAACACCGAAGACCCAAACCCTTTCTGCATCCAGGACTCTTGCAAGACCCAAACCCTAAAGCCCTAAACCCTTCCAAGCACCAAACAAACATCATATAACTCGAATGTAAACCCCTCAAGCCCTAATTCGCTTACACAACCCTCAGGCCCTACGATTCTCAAGCACTCGGTCAATCCCCTCAGGCGCCCCGGCGTGTTGAGCTCCGTGCGAGTCAGCTCATCGGGCAACTGTTCGGCCTTGAGCTTCTGCCTGGGGTCAAGGGCTTTTAAATAGGGCTTGGGGTTTAGGGTTTGGGGTTTGGGGTTTTAAACCGGATCCAGGGTTTTAGGGTGCATCTATTTTACTTTTAAATTTTAGGCTGTATATATGGGTAGTTGTCAAAATTATGGTCCCTTTTGGGGTACCCTAAATAATAGGTGCCGTATTATAATAAGGACCCAAAGAGGGACCATCATTTTGACAACCACCCAGATAGAACTTAAGGTTTAGGGTTTAGGGCTTTTGGGGTTTAATCTTTGCTCGAACAAGGTTGCACGTCATGAGGATCCTTCTGCTTAGCCACGGACGGATAGTTGTTGTTCAACATACTTGGCCTCAAAGTATCCATAACGCAGGTGTCTTTCAATCGGAAACTATCCACAGAGAAGTGTATTCGCAACGACTTTACGACCAAACCGGATCTTGAAGACAACCCTCGAATTCATCTGCAAGTCGAGCCAACCTAACAAAACTCTGAGAAACCCAAAGACAAAATTAATGTAGGGGCCTGAATAATTAGAATAGGGTTTTGGGGCCCAATATACTATAAGTAGAATAAGGAGGTCCCAAAATAGTATTGGTAATTATATTTAAGCCCCTATATTATAGAACCCCTAGAAAGCTCAAACTCAGCTTGGGAGCTCTAGCAACTCCTGGCGTTGCCGCTTCATCCTCGGCCAGGAGGGACGGAGAGAATTCACCACTGCTGATGAAGTCTTCTTTCTGCGGGCTTCATTTGTCCTTTAGAAGCTGTCTGTCAGGGTCTTGTTTATGACCGTCGAAAGGACTTCTAGAGTTCAGACATGAAACCTGTTCTGCTTCCCGGCAAGGGCTCTGCGATGGTTGATTAAGGCTTTAGGAATTTGCGATTGTACCTTCGAACTACATTTTTGGGGTTTGGGGTTTAGGATTTCATAGGTTTGTGCGCCCTCAACTCATCTCGTAGAGCTGTTGAAAATGGCGTGACGTTTCGGATTTCCCGGTGGGGTTGGGTCACCAGCGGATCCCAGGATCCCGGACACCAACCTCCCTGTAAATGAGTGCCTTGACTCGGAACTGCCCTTAATCGTGGGCAAGACTTGTGCCAACACACCATTCCGGACATGTACAGGCAACCGTAAACCCTAAAGACTAGATTCAAATCTGGAAGTAAAGCAGCAAATAACTCATTTCGCCCCGCGGCTTGGCTTCCTCTTCCCGACGCTCCGTAGCCTTCTTCTGCCTCAAGAAATGTTTTCTGGGCTGCCTAGGGTTTACTTTCCGGGTTGTGAGGCCAGGTGTTACAAGGTTATTTGTTCCTAGTGCGATAGTTTGAGGGCCTAGGATATTGAGGGCTTGGGGCAACTGGTGCCGATTTTAGATGTTAGATTTCAAGCCAGTCTTTACGGTTGCAGTTTGCAGGTTATTTTTTCAGTTTGAGCCTGCGAGTTTTGCATGAGGGTTTAGGCCCTTCCTGGAGATTCACGCTCAACTCAAGACTACTTCATTCAGGAAAGTCTCAGGCGCAAGCGGGCAACCCGGGGCCAACAGCTTTATGGGGTCTACATGGAGGGGTTCTTTGGTCGTAGTAAGTGGTGGGGTAGTAGAATGGGCTTGCAGAGGCTGTGATACTAAGCAGACGGACTCAAGCCAAAGGAGCCTTCAAGCACGTAGGACTCTCAAAGCGCGGTCAATATAGAGGGCTGGGCCAACACCAACCCTAAACCTCCCTTGCCAGCTATCGCGCATCACCTGACCCTAACTAGTAGACCGATCGCTCTCATGAATGAAAATCCCGAAACTCTTGACACTGCACCCCGAACTTACATCAATCAGGAATCTCATCACACCCACTTCAAGCCAAGCTCTATGACAAATCGAAGCAAGTGTTCAGTTTCCTTACTCGCGTGTTCGCATCAACAATGCTGGCAAACCCTAAACCCTAAACCCTAAGATACTAAGATACCCCAAGGCCGAACCTCGAAGCCCCGGCAGTCAGACCAGGCACATGTTGGACAGATGCCCGGCCATGCGCGCACGACGCACGCGAGCTGCTCCTCAAGTCTGCTCGAGAGGTTTAGGGCCTTCAGGGCTTTTTTTTGCCTCCCACCTAGCTAGGACGAAGCCCGCATTGCAGGGTATCTCTAGGGTTCATAGGCTCAGGGTTCAAGGTTTAGGGGGGTTTCGGGTCTGCTTTGTCCGCAGGACCACAACCCTGCAGAATAGTGGGCGCCTCTCTTCTATAGCCGGATGTAGTTGGGAATACAGCACCCACACCACAGCGATACTTCAACTACCCCCAGATTCTTCGGGAGCTCCGGGGCAAGGGGCATCACGGGATCTGGGAGCCCAGATCTTGAGACCCAAGACAACCCCTTCCTTCTGACTCCAAGTGTCTCTTCCCCACGGGCGATAAAAGACCGTCGGCATCGGAGTCTGGACTCAACCTCCGCAGGTCAGATTTGATTGAAACTAAAGCCTGCTGCAAACCTGCAAACCCTCTACGAAGGAGTGAAGATCAAGTCTCCTGCAAAGGTCCGGCCTGCTCCGCAGAACAGGGCTTGTTGGCTTGTTGGTTCACCCTTTTGCTACTGGACTTGAGGACCCGCCACCTTCCTGCAGGTACTCACATGGCCCCGCGGGCGAGGCAATAGTTTTAGGGCTTCGGGTCTAGAGCTTGGGCCTCGGAGTATGCGGCTTTCGGGGGGATGGGGTTTTCGGTTTAGGGCTTTGGACCATCGAGCTTCGCTGCGGTCTGAGTCTGCGCCATGGACATGCTTGCCTAGTTTCCTCGCTGATCCGCAGAGTGCGCTTTCCCCCTCCCTACACAAACGCCCGCCTCTCTACACAAGCGCCCGAAACCTTCAACCCTTCGCAGACTGAGCGTATACTGGGGCAGGTCTACAAGATTGGAATCTTTTGGGTTCGGGACCTGGGGTAAACCCTAAACCCTATAAACCCTAAACCCTATTTCGGGCAAAACACCTGAAGCCTAGGACTCTCTGGCGCTGAACGGCCTCGAGCTCGGACTCAGTGGGCTGCCATCATCTCAGGGATCCAAGGCTTCGGGATCAGGGCTTCACATAAAGTATAATATAGGGGCCTTCATGATGAATTCTAATAGGGCTCTAAAGTGCATTGTAAGATAATTATGGAGAAACTGCCAGGCGATACCAGTTGTAATTATTCAGGCTTATCTATGACATGATTTTGGGAGTCGGGTTGAGGTGGATTGGGGATATAGGCGTCTTTCTTAGGGTCTTTGGAGGATCTCCTCTCTACGGCAGCTAGGGTGGGCCAGAGAAATACAGTAGCTCTTTGGTTTAGGGTTCAGGGTACCCCCTCGACATCAAGAAACATACTGCGTCCTCTCCCCGAAAATAATGCTGTCCAAAAGGGTGCTGGCCTCTGAATGAATCAATACGGCGAAGGATTTAGGGCTGTCCTAGTTGTGGCTGTATAAGGGGTTATGCAAACATTCATCCTGCTAGGGGGTTATGGGCTTGCAGCATTGGCGCTTTTAGAGAAAATCTTTCACACCTGTACACATTCCCTTGAAAACCATTCAACATATCACCAGGCGATAGACCGGTGGCACCAACAGAGCTTCCATACGTTTTCTCACTAGCCTCACGATGTAAAAAAACAATGTTCTACGAAACATTGGAAAATCTGCCACAGCTGCCTGCAAAGTCGTCATCGTCGTCCATCGTCAGAGCCAATCCGGAGTTGCCTGCACAAAGACAGTCCAAACATCCCCGCACTCAGTCAGACCTAGTGGGGTTTCGGGCTCCGGGTTCTGGGAATCTCTAAACCCTAGCTGCCCTAACCCCTAAACGCCGACATGTTGAAACCCGCCACACACAAACAGCCCATTGTTGGAGCAGCAGGATGAATGGCAAGAACGGCCACGACCCGAATATAACAGCACAGAATTAAGTACAGCCCGGTCTCTGTTCGGAGAGCTTTAGAAGCCTTCTAAACCATCTTCGGAACACTTCGAAGTTGGGATTTTAGACAACGTGAAAGGGACATAAATCCAGTTGGGGTAAGCAAGCTAAGCAAACCCTAACCCCTCTCTTGCTCACTTGGAAAGAAGGTCACCTGGCAGCTGCAAAACAGAACGCAGCGACTTAAACCAAAGCATCTGGAATGCAGAGCCTCAAGTTAAACCCTGGAACAGAAAACGGAAAGCCTGGAACTCCCTTTTGAAACTACAGGCACGGAAACGAAGATCAGAGTTCCCAGCATCGCCTCTGGCAAGAGGCGACGCGCAGTTGCCTGGGCGTCCCAAGAAAGGAAACCCAAAGCTGGCAAGCTGAGCTTCAACAAAAGGCAACGAGAGGGGTAAAGGTTGAGGACCTTAGGAAAGCTGTGAGTATTCTGTCTCGCTGGGCTTCTGGAGCCGAGCTTGGAGGCAAAGCTACTGGCTGATCGTGTGCCAGAAGGGTGACAGACCCACAGCCGCTGCCAATATGGAAGCCTGAGCATCTAATTGTAATAGGGTTCTGCGGTCTATGATACTTGCACCATAAGGACTCCAAGGATTCCTTGAAAAGTAGCTAGTGTTCCGGCTTCTATAGTATCCCTGAGCTCTGGACCAGGAATGCTGATGCTCTTGCTGTCCATTCAGAAATTCAGTCCATGGGACAGAGAGACAACGGAGCGAGTACTTAGAGCCGCAGACGAGGTTTGGAAATGGAGGGCTCTCCATGCAGTACACGGCAGATCTTGTGCTTCAGGTACAACCTTCCGTTTTGTGCCCAGGCCTTTTGGAACAACCCAAACCAAAGAAGCCCTCAGGGCAGCAAGCTGCTGGTAAGGCCATCGGTGATGTGGTCCGCACCACCTGCTCGAGCAGCTGGGACTAATCTAGAGGTCCTACATAACTAACCAGAGTATATCCTGAAAGTGCATGTGTGACTATACTGCGATACAACTACCCCAAAACCGCCCGCCGCCATATCACAAGTCCTGGCGATGCAGGATCGTAGGATAGGAGTCAGGTTTCGACAGGCTTGAAGTTTTACAGTATGCAGATGTCAACCGGCGCTTTGTCCTGTTTGGGACTAAACCTCAGGGCTACGGAGACACTTGGGCGGTACCCTGTGGGAGTTTGAGAGAACGGAGGACCCTCATCTGGCCGGTTTGTGGGATCCTTCTGGCGAATGGCCCCCGTTTCTCCGACGCCGAAATCCGTACAAAGCTTACAACCCCGGAATCCTTTGTGCCGCCTTCGTCGATGAGGTCCATGTCCAGATCTAAGCCGTCAAACCTTTGCAGGCACTGACACGTTATGTTGCGGAATCAAGGTTCAGGGTGTTAAACTCAGGTAGGGTTGCAGGTACGGACAGATATGATGTCCTGCTTCCCATCGCCAGAGTGTTACTGACAAGCCTGCCTGCATGCCTCCATGAACCTTCCAGAATTTTTTTGGGGGGACTGAGACTGGGTTCAGGGTCTAGGGTTTAGGACGTAGGCTTTCAAACCTTCAGAGTTCGTTCTTTGGCGTTCCCAAGTGTGGCCTTCGGATGCAGGGCCCATGATTGCCATGGGAGACATGTCTTCATCCGGAAGACCGCTGAGCACGGCAAGGCGGCCCGGTGAAATGCTTCCAGCTTGCTGCGCCCTGCGGTTTTCCAGGGCCCGGCCGTCCAGAGCCCAAAGCAGCCCAAGACCCCGAAACCCCAAACCCACAATCGAACTGAACTCTGCAAAAACCTATAGAGCCCTAAATCTCTAAATCTAAACTCTAGCCACAACCGTGACGCCCCCCAAACCCTAAACCATAGGCTACGGTGTACCCTAAATCCTGGAGCATACTGTAATCCCACAAACCTACACCCTAACCCACACAAACAAAGCAAAGCGGCTGCTGCAACTCGTCACCTTCCGGTTCGGCTCCCGTCATAATGTGATCCTGAGTTTAGGGTTTCACTTTGGGTTTTCCAGGGATCCCACAAACATCGAGACTTGCATACTTAAAAAGAGTAGCTAGGGACCTAAATGATCATAGCCCGGCTTTGGGAGGAACCCCAAAGAATAATACTACTGATGCTACTCCCCCCCAACAAGAATATTCCTTATATCTCCCCACAATCCGGAAGCTCCGAAGCCTGAGATTCGAACACCCTACTCCGATGCTGAGTTATGCTCCCCGGCCCAAGAAGAAATGATGACGTTTTTGAGTTCAGAAGGGGTGGTATAGTTACATAAACACAAAACGATTGAAAGCTACCTAACGCTGCAGCTCTATACGCCGAAACCCGAAACCCCTGTGCTCGATGCCGGAGCTCCATCTCACCCATGTGCCGGTCAAGCATTATGAGGCCTTGGTTGCTCAGCTGCAGATAACCTCGGCAATGGAAGGCTTTGAGGGTTTCGGGCCCTTCGGGGTTGAGGACTCCCGGCCATGGGCTGCTAGCGGCTTTGGAGGTTCAGAGCTTCAAGGGTTTCGCAACATCACGCGACAGTAACATACAGCGACTCTGGAAGATAACATAGTTCAAGCTCCGGGAAGCTATGGGCGCGGACTGCAAAGGTCCTTGCCCTGTGCCCACGCTGTTGACATGTCTACAGGTTGCAAATTCCAAATACCTAACTTTAAGTTTAAGGCAACCGGAAACATCTCAGCATCTTCGAGGCTTGACAGAGCAGAGTTCCTGGTTACGGAATAGAGTGTAACTGATCACGAAGCTCTGGTAGGGATTTTGTGGGGCTTAGGCGTAGGATGGTTTGGGATTATAGGAACATCTAGTAGCGCCGAGCTTACACACCATCAAAACTGCCAGCTATGGTGCACTGTGCTGATCCTGCAATAAAGAACATCCCTAAATCCTGAGCCGCTTGCACCCTACTTCGTATTGCAGGGCGCGCAGGACTCCGATCAATGCACCACGCTCTCCACGGCCCAGACCATCATGCGTAACCTTCTGATACAAGCTACATGTGCCCGGCATTGGCCCCACATATAAACAAATTTTCGAAGCACTGCCACTTTGTGTTTGGGGCCTCATAAAATCGAACGCACTGCCGAGTTCTGCTGGCCCGTCAAACTGCCCTTCCCCTGCAGAAAACACTCCCATACAGCAACATGCCACCAACACAGATCTTCGCGGAATCGATCTGCGAACCCGTGTCGCCGAGAACTGCAGTACCAAATCGCATCCTAAGGCCTCAATTTCAAGTTCCACGATCGACAAGTCTTTCACCAACACATCTGACCATATCGTCTGACCCCGGAGGAGGGCCATGAGAAACCCTCCCTAAACCCTTGTAAACCCTATAACTTAACAATGAACCCTACCAAAGAACTTCCATAAAACCTATGCAAACTCTTATCAAAGCTATAAACCCAACAAGACAATCTATCATGTCATACGACCTCAAACCCTAAACCCCATAACCCCTAACCCCCCCCCCCTCAAAACAGTGAATGAAATCCTCAAGCCCTCCCGCTCTCGCTGCAGAGAAAGAGTCGGTCCACACCTGGCGGTTTGTGGGCTCTGAGGTTCCCTCTTGGAAGGCTCCTTTAATTCCGGGAAGATCCGATGATGGAACCCCCGTAACAGGAGCCCTGCAGGGTGCCATACGGCTTCCTTTAAGGGTACCAGATGAGGGCTCCTTAATAAGGGGGGGATTCCGGATTCCTTTAAGGGGCCCATCATGGGGCTCCCCTTTCAAACGGGGCCCTGTTGTTCGTTTCGGGGTTCCTTTAAGGGCATCAGTCTGGGGATGCCTTGGGTCATTAGGGCCTTGGAGGGTTCCTTTAAGCGTCCATCATGGGGTTCAGGCTTTGGACGACTTTCAGTTTTCATCGGGTTTAGGGTTCATGGTTGCAGTTGTGGGCCTCAAGGCCTTTCCACTCTTGGAAGGGGATCCTACGATTTGCAGTCAACCAGTTTTCAGAGGTACGCTGCTCTTGAAAACTCGCACCTGAGCTGTTTTCTACGGGTAGCAAGATACCTTTCCGGTGGATTCTTTGTGGAAGCCTGTCTCGAGGGATTGTGGCGTTCACGCTCAGTTCGATAAGGCTTTATTTTCACGTTCATCTATCTGCACATGCCTGAACCCGACATCCTTTGTCTCTCCTCCTGTTTGACGACGTGACTCTTTTGAAGCAACAGGCCCGGGGCTCCACCGTATTATATGGCTAATCCCTTTCAGGCTTGAGACTCCTGGACCCCCAAAAGTATGTAGAATAATAGCCTTTTAGAGGTTTTGGGCCATTATTTTTCCTTTAGGCCGAAACCATCACCTCTGCTAGGGTTCACGTGCTCCTTAACCGCAGACGAGAGTCTCAAGTCCGGGGGAACGAGCTCCTTCTCCCGGTTCTTGTTGGCATACATGGCGGCCTTGGATGTGTCCAGAGGTCACAGAACTGCCCAGATCTTCCAGTACGGCTCCATCTCTGTGCCATTGGGGGCTTTGGGGTCATGGGGTTTAAACTCTTTCCTTGAAACGCTCGGGCTGGGGCATCAGCCCACGAACCGATAAGCCGGAGCACTGCTCTTGCAGGACCTGAATGCTCCATATGGGAGTTTCCGAAAATTTGGGGGGTACCTTATCTTGGGGTCCTTATAATAAGGATCCTACTATTTAATGTACTATATTGGGGTCCCCTATTTTCGGAAACCCACATATCGCGCACTTAAAAGCTCTTGCGACTTCGCAAGGTTTCTCTGACTAACTTGGTTGAATAACTCACAAGGAGCACCCAAGCACCTGCCTATCATTTAGCACTTGCTGAAGGTGCAGTGTCCTTATATACACCCCAAACAGAAGCATCCGTTACATCAGACTCCAAGACGGCAACCCTAGTCTTCAAAACCCCTCATATAGGTTCACACCCTGCAATGTTGCACGGTTTTCAAGCTGCATTAGTAAGCCGTGAAGTCCTGACTCCACGAATGCTCAGCCCAGAATCTCAACTTTCTATTGAACCCAATGCCTCTCAATCAACTGGGCTTATACCTTAAAACATAATGTTTGGCCGTCTCGCGAAAGTGAGCTATGTTGCTTTAAGGGGTCTTGGTATCTCTGGGTTAGTGCTGCTTGGCCGCAGACTGCGACATCCATGCAGAAGTCTTCCCGCTAAGGAGCTCTGCACGCCCCTGCAATACCTCAGTCGGGACGAGGCCCGGGTTTGAAGGGTAACGTGTGGCATTAGGGGATTATGGCCGTTCTTACGACAAAAACACTTCCTTACATCCTACATACGTAAGGGTTTGGGATGCCCGTGCAGGCTTGGGTGAGGGTGCTCATGTCCCGCCCAAAGCTACCCTAACCTACCGTCATGTTCGAGGTCTTGCATGAGACTCTGCAAACCAGTGTGTTATGGTAGCTTGAGGTAGAGCATGTCAATCACACGCCCCGGAGACTTTACACGAAACGGTATTTAAACCCACCACGAAACGGAATTTGTTGCTCGGCACCGGAACAAACCACACACTCAGCCCTTTAGACTCAGACTTGGCAGGGCAGATAGTCTGGGCACAATTCTCCAACTTTACTTAAACCAACCTCCTGTGCCCAAGCCCTAAACACAGCCTCAACCAGACAAACCCTGTAAGCCCCAAGGTGCCGAACATCTCTGAACCCTTGTCCCTGGCCGCTTGCCACGAAGTGGCATGCTCCAGCTGTATCCTGGAAGCTCAGGCATGGAATGGGTTCTGGTTGAGGCTTTGTCGGGGGCTGTAGGAGCGTCGCCGTAGTCTGGAGTTCGAAACTCACTGCGAGGAACTAGGCTTTGGGGCTTAGGCTTAGGTGGTGTGCTCTCTGCAAGTATTCTGACCACCGCACGGCTTGACGAGTCTCCGACAGTGGAGTAACTCTGGGGGTTGAGATGCAGGGGCCTTGAAGGGCCTGGGTGAAGAATCGTCTTCGGATAGGGTCTGGAGTTGCGGAGCTCTTCGGGGAAAGTGCTCTAGGTGCAGGTGCCTGGGCATGTGCAAACTGCAGATGTGTACAACCGCAAAAGCACAACCCCACACACACACACACACAAAAAAAAAAACAAACGAACGAGTGGTATTCGGTGTAGGGCTTCCGACTGCCTGGATCATTATTCGCCTGGCATTAAACTATAGGCCTGAACGAAACCCTTCCGCAAAACCATCCATGGCAACCGCAAACCCTAACCCCCAAAACCCTATACCAAAGAGCTTCCTGAAACTGCAAGAGGTATTGAGAACAATAAGCGACGAATCATGGCCTCTACGTGGGTTCCTTTTCGCAGTCTCTACATGGTGTTCCTTCCTTCCAGAAACTCCCAACCACTCCCGACCTAAACCCCAAAGCCGCAACTGCATCAACTTAATCTACCTTACCCTAAGCCCAGCCCTCAACCCTACTTTTTCATTTGGGTGTTAGGGTTGGGATTAAGCTTCGGGGAAATATGTGTGCCGCCAAGCGTTTGGGACTTGAGGCCTCGGCCCAAAGGCCATTACTGTAATAGGGCCGAAAAAACTTATGTAGAATAAGGCTTAGGGTGGATTCTACTGTATTTATGGGGCTGAAAACTTAGAATAAGGCTTAGGGTGGATTCTAATATGTTTATGATTTATGATGATGAGGCCGGAGGCTATTGTTTGGCTTTTTGTTCAAGGCCCTATAGATCTTGCCACCCAGGGGCTCATCTGGGCGAGGCGCATCTAAGTGACCAAACCTGGGTGCGGTAGGAGGCGAAGTCCAAAGTGGATCACATGGGTTCAAGGCTTCGGATCCTTAAGTGTTCTACTGCAAATTGGCTGAGCGCCTTTTTTTAGTCCACGACAGAGGGTGTAAGGGGTCAGGGCTCGAAGATCGAAGCCTGAAGAACTCCACTGCGGCTTGGGGATTATCAACAGATCAAGGAACCCCAGGGACAACTGATGCTACTGCTAAGTGTTCATCTGTATTGGGCTAGGCTTAGAGCTTCCCATGTGAAGCGCAACACCCAACACCCGGAAACCCCAAACCCTCCTAAGTCTAAACCTGGCACCGTAAACCCCTGACCCCACAACAGTAATTAACCCCCCCCAAAAAAGAAACCCCGTAAACCCGAGTCCAAACCCCTAAACCCCAAATCCCCCCAAAAACCCAAAGCCCTGAAAAAGGCCAGGGAACTTCAAAGGGCGCGTGCCCAGCCCTAGCAGCTGATTCTCCAGCTCGGCCTGCCTGGACACTTTTTCAGGCTCCTTTAAAGGCGCTAAGGGGCTTGAACTGGGGGTGTAAGGTTTCATTAATTAACAAGGTTGCTTTACAGGCTCGGGAAATCTTGTAAGGGTTTTAGGGTGTGGAGTTTTGGGTTTAGGTGCCTTGTGGGCTTGGGTTTCTGGTGGTTCTTGAAGGTTTCAATCTGCATGCTTCAAATGATTTTTTAGGACCTTATATGGGGTCTCTTACGGGTCTTGAGGATCGGGTCCTTGAAGAGGGGACTCCGAGGAAGTCGCATCTACATTATACAGACCCCTGTTTGCGAGGCTCTGCACATAGTTTCACATGCTGTTGTGGGCAGCAAAACCCTGCAGATCCTCGGTAGTTTCGCGGGCCGCCCTTCACAGCCGTGATAGCTCCTTTAGTCTTTTAATTGTTGGGGCCGCAAGGCCATGTTCCTTCATTCTTGGAAACTTTGATGATATCGTCTGCCATGAAATTGAAAAGGCCCCAATTGAAGGTTTAGGATTTCGTGTTCTGGGCATTGCGCAATATCGAACACGTCGCACCCTGCCCTGACGAAGGCAAAGCTATCCTCGCACCCGCAGCGGTCTCGGGGTGGTTTCATTGGTCTCGGGTTCTTGTTAGGTTTCGGGCTTTGTTCCGGCTTTCGGTCTTCATGCTTTGGGCCCTGCTTTGGGATTCAACACTCTCCCTCAGAGTCCGAAGGACCCAATGCATGTAGGGGAGGGTATGAATTAGTAGGTACTTGGACCCCTAGAGTCTGAATCTATGGACAGTCGCGGAAAACCACAAACCCGAATGAGAAGCTTCCTCGAGCCTCCGCTGACCACGCAGGTACTCATCCTGGTTCACGTGTGGCCTTTGCAACACCTCGATACTAGTAGTGGTGGTAGTAGTAGTAGTAGTAGTAGGAGGAGGAGGAGGCGCCCCCTCCCTACCAACTACACTTGCTCAAAACCATCTTAAGAGCACATCCGTTTTACTCTGTATTTACAGCACTTTCGTCATGTACGATCATCATACGAAGCCTCAAAATCGACTTGCCGAGTTTGCAAACTCGGCCTCTTGATTTTGGACTTGCTTCTGGGTGATGATGACGACAGTGTCGCGCAAACACAGCCAACAATATCTACAGTACTTTCGTGATGTCCTCCTTTCTTATATAGTTGCCACCCCTACTTCTGGACTGTGCGTCTTAAACTTTGGTGTCTCGAACGGCGTGCCGACAGAACTCGAAATTGGTTGGGGGTACCGTTTTCCTCGGTATTTACAGTACTTGTGCAAACGACAGCGCTGTTACTCGATATTTACAGTACTTTTGGTGATGTTGGTGATGAAAGGTGATGAAATGCTTTTGATGTTTCGTGATGTTGGTCATGGCATGTGTTTGCTTTTTCGTGAGCACACAACCCAGCTGTTACTCGGTGTTTACAGTACTTTTGGTGATGTTGGTCATGAAATGTGTTTGCTTGTTGGTGATGTTGGTCATGAAGTGTGTTTGTTTCTTTCGTGATGTTGGTGGTGATGATGTTGATGACAATGACGAAGTGTAGTTGGTAGGGGGTGGCTAGTAGTAGTAGTAGTAGTAGTAGTAGTAGTAGTAGCAGTAGTAGTAGTAGTAGTAGGAGGAGGCTAGTAGTAGTAGTAGTAGTCGTCGTCGTCGTCGTCGTCGTCGTCGTCGTAATAGTAGTAGCAATACTAGTACTACTAGTACTACTACTACTACTACTACTACTACTACTACTACTACTACTAGCCTATTACTAGCCCACCATTACTACCACGAGGACGACGACGACGACGACGACTACTCCTACTGCTACTGCTACTGCCACTTCTACTACCACCACCACCAATACCACCGTCACCCGTCACCACCACCACCACCATCACCACCACCACAACCACCACTATCATTACCACTATCATTACCACTATCGCTACCGCGACCACCCCCAACGCCACCACCGCCACAACCACCACCACCATGCCACCATCACAACCACCAGCATTACCACCCCCACTGCCTTACCACTACAACTCGACGAAGAGTCAAAAACAGTCATGCGAAAAATTGCCACAGAAACAAGACACAAAACCTCTGTGAATCAGAGTACTGAGCATGAAGATGGTGAAGTTTGATGGTTGGACGTGTCAGAAACGGGCTCGCAATGGATTGCCAAAACACCTTCCAGTCGTATGATTAGCAGTGCTAGGAATACTATGGCCGTGGTGCTTTTATGTTCCACTTCTCCGCACCGCGACCATACCCTTTCGAGTGACTTCTCGTGGCAGCGAATTTCCAACCACATTGAACATATAATACACAGTTCGTAAGGTTCAAGATGATAATTAGAACGGCGGTACAGGCCACGTCACCATGGGCAGATTGATATCCTGATTCAGCCCACTTCTGCAATTGCTGCAGGGTCGCTGATGACCTGGCGTGTTACGAAGTTGTGGTGAGGCCGCAGTGACGTCTCATAACCAGCTTGGATGCAACGGCTGAGAGACAGCGGAGCCGCATGCGCCGTCCTCGGATTACCCAAGACGAATCAAAACCAGAACAACCGGCTTCCTCCAAGTAGCCTAGCCTAGGAAGCAAAAGCAGTACAGTAGCAGCAGCAGTCGCTATATCATCAGCAGCAATAGCAGCAGTAGCCGTAGCAGGAGCATTAGCGGTAGCAGTAGCAGCCCCAGTCGCAATCGCAGCAGCAGCTGCAGCAGAAGTCGTAGTCGTGGAAGAAGTAGTAGTAGTAGTAGTAGTAGTAGCAGCAGCAGCAGCAGGAGTGGTAGTAGTAGTAGTAGTAGTAGTAGAAGTAGTAGTAGTGGTAGTGGTAGTGGTAGCAGTAGTCGCAGTAGTAGAAGTAGTAGAAGTAGTAGAAGTAGTAGTAGTAGTAGTAGCAGCAGTAGTAGTAGTAGTAGTAGTAGTAATAGTAGTAGTAATAATAATAATAGTAGTAGTAGTAGTAGTAGGGTAGTACAAATAGTGGCAATAATAATAATAGTAGTAGTAGTAGTAATAGTAGTAGTACTAGTATTAGTACTAATACTAACAGTAGCAGCAGCACTCACTCACTCACTCAAACGCGCAGGACAAGGTTCGTCCGCTTAGCGAAGGCCACGCGATATTGGGCAGCAGCTTCATCAGTAGTAGCAGCAGCAGCAGCAATGGTAGTGGTAGTGGTAATGGTAGTGGAAGTGGTAGTGGTAGTGGTAGTGGTAGTAGTAGTAGTAGTAGTAGCAGCAGTAGCAGCAGCAGCAGCAGCAGCAGTAGTAGTAGTAGTAATGGTAGTAGTAGTAGTAGTAGTAGTAGTAGTATAGTAGTAGTAGTAGTAGTAGTAGTAGTACTAGTATTAGAGCAGTAGTGATAGTAGCAGTGGGAGCAGTAGTCGTGGGATGGGAGGGTTCGGCAAACGAGTAGTGGCAGTCGTAGTCGTCGTGATGACAGTGGGGGGTAAGGTAGTAGTAGTGGTATTTGTGATAGTTGTGATACGGTTAGGTGATTGTGGCGGACTGGTGATCGTGTTGATAATGGTGATAGTGTTGATAGTGGCGATAGTGGTGATACACACGATAGTAATGAATGGAACAACAGCGCTGGTGAGCGAGTACGAGTGGCGCTGCCTTGCAAGCCCTGGAATAAAGTGGCATCATGAGAGATACTTATGACCATTTGCTTTTGACCACTTCTTGCATGAAGTAAGCTGATGATGTGTGAGCATGAGTGCAATGCCAGCATGATTGTGGGATGATGTGGTGGCCAATCCCCGCGAACCATTACCCATGGACTTCAGAAGCTACTGCATTCAGTCATGCAGGCTGCCGGGTTTGCGGCCCCGAACCCCTTATAGCTCCAAACCGCGAACTCACACTCCTCTTGCAGTCCCGCTTACACTCTGGGAACCCCGTGCACTCCCGCTGTCACAGTCTCACTGGCCATCCCCGTCACACTCCGCTCACACTCACGCTCACACTCACAGTCCTGCCCCGGCCCGCCCCAGCCTGCGGCTGGGGTCTGAAATTGTGATTTGACAACACTGTGAAAAATGGCCATGTTGCCCATCAAAAACCACCATGTCCATCAAATAATCTAATACCCTTGCGCTCGACTTTCCCTCCTCGGTCTCACATTTCCGTTCACACTCAACCTCACATTGCCTCGCACACTCAACCTCACACTTCCGCTCACACTCAGAACTCAGAATCACCGCTCGCACTCAACTGCACACTGCCTCTCACACTCAGCCTCACACTTCCGCTCACACTCAGAATCCCCGCTCACACTCAACGTCACACTTCGCTCGCGCAGATCTCACGGAAAAGAATGCTTTCAGATTATCCCAGTGGTTCCATGGACAGCCGCTCAGAAGGCTGAGACGAAAGATGCGCCGGATTCGCAGCCCGGTTCGCTGTCCCAGCATAGTGTCTTTCCTGGAATCCCCCACACAGCGCCAAGTGTTCTATCCCCCATCGTGCCCTCCAGCAATGCCTCAGATGTCTCAATGGTGTTGCGACGGCAAAGCTCCGGAAGGACAAATCTCACTACTGCACACTCCTGAAAACATCTCCAAATTACGCAACTCCTCCACTGGCGCGGCTCATGTCGAGCTCTAGAAAAAAACCAGGAGCCAGCACACTCCATACGGCACAACAAAACCTGCCAACACTCTGGCAACGGTCCTTCGGGGTGAGGGATAGGCTCGGCAAGCAGGCAGTACGTGGTGCAACCTCAGACAACAGAAGAGACGAAGCAGAGCTAGCTGCCGACGCCACCACGGTAGAGTTGGCGGAGCATCCTCCGGCGCTGGATTTGCATGGAAGCCGCCGCGCGGAACCTCAGCCACCACACAACACGCGCCCTGCGCTGCAGCCCCGAAGTCTTACACAACATGCAGCCAGATTCTTGTGGAACGACGACAGACTAATTGACCTAGTAGAGCCAGCTGCCGATGCCACCAAGGTACACTTGGCGGAGCATCCTCCCCTCCACACGCTGGGAGGTCTGCATCCTTAGATGTCATGGCAGCACACGCAGCTGCTGCATGGCTGAAGCCCAGGCAAGAAGCATGAGACTGGCACGTCTCACGCTGCAGCGCTTGCGGAACCTCAAACAGCGTATGTAAGGCATGCGCACGGTGCTTCCAGTACACGCACACCAACTATTGCGGCCAAGCGGCAATCCGGTCTGCTCCGGATGGATCACACGCCCTGCACGGCCGCGGTACCCGGGGCCGGGTGTCCAAGAACCCAAAAACCCTCGTCTCGTGCAGCTGCGGCTTTCCTCTCGGGAGCCACAGGCTGCAGTCTGAGGCTAGCCTGGACATCACTGCTGCAGCCAGGACGCAGCACCCTGATCGGACTTTCGGAGTTCCCTGCCTGACACAGGAAACACGCACCTGACCCGTGACCCGACTGCGTCGGAGCTGT